ATGTTTGCTGGAGACCCTGTGGAAGAAAAGAAGAAAAAAAAAAATCGGTTATCCATCGTTAACGATTTAATTAATGGACGAACGAATTTACAAGGATTTCTTGTTTCTCGTGTCGTTTCCTAAGAATGAAAACAAGCCGGGCAGCTCCTTCGCGAGACCCAAACTGGTGGAGTTCGTCACCAGTTGCCCTGCGCTTCCCGGGGCCGAGCGGTGTCTCCGTCCGAGCTCCGGCGGAGCAGAGCCCGGCGGGCGGGCCGCGGGGGTGCGCGGGGCTACGCGGGGCTGCGCGGAGCGGCAGCGCCCCCTGGCGGCCCCCGCCCGCCCCGCTTCCCCGCCGGTGCGTTGGCGTGGGCAGCTCCGGGAGCCCCGGGAAGATAGAGCCGGAGCCTCAGCGGCATCAGGGGGTACAAATGGAGAGGGGGGGCGGAATCGTGGATCCAGGAGGAAAAACGATGCAGGCGGAGGGTTGCGGGCGACGGCAAACAAAACTGGGAGGTGACTGTCACGTTCCAGAATGCTGTGTGATATCAGTGTTGTCTCTTATAATTAGTTTTTGGCTCGGTACGCAGAACCTAATTAAGCACTTTCCGAAACCTCACAGCCTCCCCTGCTCCCCTCTTCTCACTGCTTTCCTGCGCAGTGATTCAAGCCTCAGTTCCTTTCCACTAAACCCTACCACGCTCTTTTTTTCATCTCAAATCTCAATCATGCTTGAACATGACTGTAAATAATTAAAGCAGTTCACATGTTGCTTGTTGTAATTAACTGGTAAGACCAGCTAAGTGACTGCTCCTGACCTAGAGATACCCCATCCGTTGTTACAACAACTAGTCACAATTAGCGTGAGCTGCAACAGAGGCGTCTTGTCACCCACCTTGCTTTTTTAAACTTCGTTCTAACAGGGTTATACTTCTGCAACATGGAGCAACACCTCTGGCTCCATTGTCGTGTGAGAATAAATTCACAGGTTGCATTATTTGCAAGCTGAGAGTTATTTAAGCTGGAAGGGTGAAGACACCAAGGACGGAAGGCATGCTAAAAGATGAGGAGGGAGAACAGTTAAGTTCAATGGAAGAGGAGTGAGATATAGGTTAAAAACAGGAATTAATTTACGATCAGTTCTTGCTGCATAGCCTGTCTCCCTCTGACTTTTGTCATATTTCTGTTGAGTAAAATTCTCTCTTTAGGATCTATCACTTTGGGGGTAGTATGGAGAAAAAGGCAGCCACATGTAAAGGCGTGTTTTTTTCAGAGTTAATGCCTGAGTATTAGGCTCATCCATGTCACCAGTTTTACAGATTTTTGGTAATTTTTTAAAACCTTACGTTTCTGGCAGCACATGACTGTGGGAGAACTAGAGAAAAAAAAAGAAAAAAAAAAAAAGAAAAGGTTTCTTCTGCTTTCCCAAATCATGAAGACAATTTTGGAAAGTTGATCTAGAGAGCCTCACCCAGAGAAAACAGTCAGAAACCAAATAAGAAGTAAAAAATAGATTGTTCTATTTCAGTCTCCTGAGCTGCAAAGCAGAGTGGAGGATTGTTACACGTCTAAGGCCTGGCTGCTATTTAAAATACTAAGCAGCATGAGCTGAAGACAAACACAAAATGCATCCCTTGGTGTGAAGAGAAAGGTTTTTTTCTCCATCCTTCACAGTGCTCTGGTTCCTCAGCTATTCTCTTTTGATAAGCTCAGACTTTCAACATATTTTGGAATGGCTTTCCCAATTTTCCAAAGGCTACTTTAGTCATCCCCTATTTGAAAATAAAGTTTCGTAAGCAGTTCCATTAGTCAACCATCTGATAGCTGACTAGCTTAAACATAGCTTCTTGGTTTGATATCTCTCCAGTAGATTCAAGCCTTTCTTCTGTTACATCTAACAGAAGAACTGTTAGATCTAAGCCCACTTTTTGACTTGTACAGGCATTTTCCCATGTATGTGCCTACACATCTTGATGAAACCCTGACTCAGTTTATGGCAACTAGAGGTTTGTCTGACTTGTGTGAGAACAAGATTTCTCCTACTGCATTTATTTTGGTATAACCTATAAAAAGATAATGAAGATGGAAAGCAGGCACAAACAAACATTGTTCAGAGGCAGCAATTTATTCCCATTCTAGCTTCACTACAGTTCAGCAATACACAATATGATTATACACACTACATATTTGATATTCCTTACCCAGTGCTTTCAGTCTCTGCAGTTGCCACTTTGGGCTTTTGGGAGGATGACCGACTTGCAGACCATAACAGCAGTCCCAGAACAGGCCAGCTAGAAGCTGAAAGATCAAGACAGTGAAATCACAGCATTGCCATTTTCCCAGTATTCCTTTTCTTGATTCTGCTTCTGCTGAAAGTTTTATTCATGCTCTCATTTTCTATTTTGTCAATGTAATGTATTTCTCGAAGACCTACACAAGTTTAGGCCACCCTGTCTCATCTCATGTAAATACTTCTGACTAGCACATCACTTGTTTTTTCTCACTGTAAAGCAGCTGGAATCATCTCAGGTTCAAAATAGCCTTCCTTACCCTCAAAACCTGCCTGGATTTCACAAGAATAAAGGCAGAGGACAGCAGTGACATGCAGTAGCAGTTAACAGACAAAGAGCCCAAATTTTCCCTATACACGAGGGTGCCAGGGTGCTCCCTACTCCCTCCTCCAGCATATACTCCCACATACTGTCCTTTACAGATGCAGTTCCAGTTCATCAGACACCTCGTTTGCATGTCGCGCTCACAGTCTGGTTGCTACATCTGTTCTTTGCTGCAAATCTTTTCCCTGTTGGTGTTTAAATACATCTTTCCCTTTCCAACGGCGGCGTTAGGCATCCTGCTGACAAGTCGACCTGAGTGCAGTGGAGTAAAGCCAGGGATGAATTGCCTCAGCTTGTGTGAGCAGAAGCTAAAACTACTTGCAGATCAGAAAGCTGAAGCAAGGGAATGCTCACCAGGCCAAATGAGCTGAACTTTTGAGGTCGTGTTTTCAGGTGGAAATCAGTGGATGTAGGTGGGTTTCCACCAGCTAAGCCCCTGGCTGTGAGCCTGTCAGATGGTCTCTGGTTTGACCAGGGTGAGAGGGAAAATGGGCAACGAACAAACAAGTAGAGAAAGATGAGCAGAGAAGGACTTGGTGAAAGGCTACTGGGAGGGCTGGAAACCTGTCTTGCATCGACTGGGAGGAATTCAGGATGCTTGGTGTAGATTCTTGCCTTTCAGCTACCCTCTGGTCTCAAAAAGTGCCAATATTTTCTTAATAGCCAATGGAAGGAGATAGATGTCTCCAAAAAGAAGTCCTGTTCACCTTTCCTGGGGGTCACAGACACACAGACAGGATTTTCCTCAGAGGTCTGCAAAAGCAGACCATTGCCTCTGTATACTGTGGAAAGGTGGTACCCTAAAAGAAGAGTTTGTTAGAAACCTGAATGAGGACACAGTCTTAATCCACATTTGCCCAGCGGGCACAGAAGAGGTTGTCAAAGTGTTGCCAACTTAGATCTCAGGCAGCTCCAGAAGGCACAAATCTCAAAGACAAGATGGCAGCAACTCTTATGCATTTCTTCCTTCTTCCAATTTTGCTCTTTCTATCACCTGCAGAAATAGTCTAATTACTTTTATACTTCAAGCACTTCATGATATATTTACCTTTTTTCCTCCTTTCAACTCTGCACTTTGCTTTATGTTCAACTGTCTCAGGAGCTGAGGGAAAAAAAAATGAAAGCAAGAAACCAAGAACCGAGGGCAGAAATTCACCAGGGCGCCAGGAAAGAAATGTTATTTTATGATTCAGTGCTTATTTGTACTGTTGAGAACTGGCTTTAGAGGCTTGATGGAAATCATACATGTTTCACCCAGCCAGTTGTGCAGTCTTACTTCTGTTTTTCTTGTTTATGTGCAGGGGTGGAGGCATGGCTACTATATACATCCTTAAAGGCTAAAAGGTGACTTTTCAAGCTGCAGTCCCTACAGAAAAGCTCATATGAAGCATTTTGGAAAGATGATGCCTTTGAGGCACCAGAAGCTTTTCCATACTGTTTCCTTATGCATAAGGAGAATGATGTTTGCTCTTCCTGCCAGGGCTGGGAGCTGGGAAGTGAGCTGCCCTGGCTATAGAGGCTTCTGGTGCATGGCAGAGCCAGGGAGGAGTGGAGGAGGGAGAGGGCAGGAGAAAACCATGGGCTTACTCTTCCTTGCCTTCTGCTTTCTGCATCTGCTTTCCTCAAAGGAGTGGGAATTGCTACCACCTTTGCTTCCCAGAGGGGGAAGAGCATGAGACTGAGAATGGCAGCTCAAGGGGAGATGCATCTAACCTGGCTCTCGGTTGCAAGCTGCTGGGGTGCACAAATCCACATCAGGGAGGGTCAGGAGAGCCTCCAGTACATCAGATCAAATACAGCCTGTCCTGGAGAGAAGGGAAAGGGAAGATTAGAGCCCATGTCCTTGGATGAACTGAAAACAGGTTCTAAAGACAAGGGAGGGACTCTATTTTGCCATTGCTCTGTGCAGGAGTGAGAGCTCGGGGAGCATTTCCAACCCAGACACCTCCTTAGTGCCAATGGGAGGGATGGTGGATGATCATCCTCCAGCTCACGATGGGCAAATGCTTGCCTGTGGCTGCAGGGTTTGGTGCTGCAGGGCCCTTTCAGAGACACTGATGCAGGAGTGAGCTGCAAGAGGGAGCCTGTGTTTTGTAATGTTTTCTAAAGGAGCCTCCATAACACATACAAGCTTTTGTCTTTAGGCATTTTCTGCAATATTATGGAACATACTTAAATGTGTGATGTGTCTGTGCTTTTGAAAGGTTCTCTGAATAGTCCTTTCACTCATTTCCAAGACACAAATGTGGAGTTTGGAGACGCACATGATATATGTCCATATTCCTTTTGCCTTTTTTAAAAAGATGTAATCTGTCAACAGTTTCGTTGCATTTATTTTTTTTTAAGTATTATGCCTGACCAGAGAGATAGACAGGATTGCATTTGTTTTCTATTTCTGTTTTACAGTTCTTGTTCTGACAGCAGTTACTTTCACTTCTGCAATGAATGAAAATACATCTGAGATTACATGTGTGTTTATCAGCCAGAAGGATGAAGGTTCAGGAACACCAGAGGCACTGGTATCTCCTAAGGTAATCTAACAGAGAACAAGTTGTTTATAAAATATTCCTATCCACTCCAGAAACACCTTCCCAGAATCCTACAACACCCTAAACCTTTAGACTGTGGGGGTGTCACCGACAAACAAAGTTAGGCCAAATATGACTACAGAAGGTTAGAGGGAAATACTTTGAAACTGTAAATAGATACAGTTTCAAGCACCAGTTTTCTATAAAACTGGTTTTTAATTGCTGCCTTGATGCTGTCTCGCATCAGCACACCTCAATATTGATGAATAGTGTTGGAAATGTATCAATGTAAAAAACTATGTGGCCTTAAGAGCGTATTGCCAAGGCCATGGTGTGAACGGGTGGCCTGCCATGGGGTGTGTGTGCCACAGCTGCTGGGACTGGTGGGGAAGCTGCACCACCCTCTATTCCCACCACCAAAGCCTGTGAGTCCCTGCCCAATCTAAATCTTGACTGAGACACCAAAATTGCATAGACAATCAAATACAATATATTTTTTTCTTCTCCTCTGACTTGAAATGGCAGAAGGCCAAGAAGAGGTGGTGTACATCTAGATTATAAAGCACCTGAGACCTGTAATTAACATATTACCTAAGCATTCTTTTTCAAGATAGTCTTATGAAATATTTTTAACTCCTGGACAAATAAGCCAATAATTGAAATAAAAAATGAAGGTGTACCTGTCAAAGCTGTGCTGTCCTTTTATCTGACAGGGCAGAATATGGCTGTTATCTAAATACTTTTCAGACAAAGCAAAGGGAAAAGGAAGGAGCAAGGAATGAGAACCTACTGGCCAAGCACAGTATGGGGCAGAAGGTGCAATGAACTCCATCCTTTCAGAAACTTACACCTTATAAAATTCACCCACCAAAGTAAGGGAGACATTTAGGGCTACTCTTCTGATGGAGCTATTTACTTGCCACCTTTTGCTGCAGCAAAGCTTAGAGACTCGTTTATCCATCAATGGCTTCCAGAATGACTGTGGAATATTCTCCTTCTGTTTGCAATTCTCCTTTAGCTGTATGCAATGGTGAGGAAATGCAAGGTGTGAAGGCACCCAGCCCAAATGTTTTCTACCTAGTAAAGCCCTCAAGTTACTGAGGAGCAGCCTAGCCAGATGCTGCAATGACAAACAGTGAGATGCTGAAAAAAAAAACCAATGTTCTGGCCCTGCCTTTGCCTCGAGGTCACAAACAGAAAGGTTGTATTATAGCTCTGTGTCTTCCTATGGTTCTACATGAAAGGAAACAAAAATGAGAGTAAAGAATAGCCTATATCACTAAAGGAAATCATTATGTTTCTGGCTAAAATTGTTCTGTGGTGTCTGCTTAGAGAACAGAATTAACTAATTCAACAGGAATCCTATAGTGTTTCCTTGTGCAGTAGGAGTCAACATATTAATGAATAAGTTTGGCAGTAGAAATGAACAAAAATAAACAAAATGAAGATATGATGAAGGTGTTGTTTCAATATAATTTGAATTCATATTTGTGCATTATGAGGCTTTATTAATTTATGAAAGCTTTTCCAAATGAGCATCCTTTAAAAATATTTAAATACAAAAAGGCAAATTAATCTAGTTGCTAATAAATACACAACGATCTGTCCCTTGCGTTGCAGATTTCTGACATTTTGGAAGATCTTGGGTGTTATTTGAATTCTCAAGGAACAGACAACATCTATGAACCAACTAAAAATGTGGAAGTTAATGTGTTTGAAGATATTGAATTAAGAGTGATAATGAACATTTCAGAGATCATTTCATGCCTTTGGTTCTTTAAAGAGAGCAAAGATTGTAAACCTTCATTGGACTCGGAGAACCGGTAAGTCAAGGGATACACTGGATCAAAGACCCTTTAAGAGATCATTTCTTTTAGAATGCAAATGGAATATTTGCTGTGTCCGTGCTTGTGTTTAATTTTGTGTTATGCAATATCTTTTAAAATCTTCTAATCTTTCTTAACTGTTGTCACCCTGAAGCATGTTGCTGATTGTCATTTGGACACATGTATGCATATGAACCTTGAACTCAGAATAGCTTGAAATAAGCTTGTTCTTTTAATTTGGGTAGTATCGTGCATGGATTTCTCAAGGGGTTTTCTTGATTTTCACCTGAGCTTTGCAGTGTGCAAGTGAGGCAAATATTGTGATTTGGTAGTCAAGAAACTGAGACACGGAGAATTATGTGACTTGCTAGGGTCAGACTGCAGCTCAGAAAGAGCACCAGCAACAGGACCATCTTTCTCACGACCAAACCTGGGCTGGAACCTGAGGCTGGGTCATTGCCTCCCCCTGCAGAACATGTGGGATGGGATCATAGGTAAAACATTTCCCTGTGGACCTCCTCAGCTGTCCTAAGCTCAGGAAGTCCATCTTTCCTAATGCTCAGCATTAAGCATGTGGTACCTGTGGTGGTAAGTTCCTACGTGCTGCTTGTGTAGGGAAGACACAGGATGAAAACCCTTCAGGCTGAAGGGTGCTATGTAAATAATGAATACTAGTGTCTCTGATGGATTTTCACAAGAGATAAAGAGCTAACATCTTATTGTGTCTGCTGCATATTACCTTCTGGATAACAAAGACAGTTTTACTTTCTCTTTTACAGATACATTGCGTCTTTGGCTTTTTCCCAAATAAAAGAAACACAAGCTGGAAAATACACCCTCTCGGTCATAAGTAAAACTGGCAATTACACAATAGTTGTGCCTGTTCTCATCCGAAGTAAGTATATCTCAGATGAATGGGGTCAATCCATCAATAGGTTCAAGGGGAGAGGCTCAAGTTCAGTTAGAGCAAGGAAGCTCTCGCGTGCTGCATTTCAAGCATCTTGCTAGATTTGCATAGGACTTGGGGCTTTCTTCAGAGACTGAAGTCAAAACCACAGACTGCGTGAGAGCCAGCTTTCACTGGTCAATGCACCATGCAAATGAAGAAATAAAGATGTAAATGTGTGGCAGCCCTCTTCTCCCCTATGAGAGATTCTCCTCTGTGCCAAAAGAGACAAATTGAGGGTGGCTTTTGTGTGCTCTCAAAGCTCTTGGGCTAGATTTGTTTGCTTGCATCGTAACCTATTTATTCTCGGTGTTGCTGGCTGGGCTGTTATCAGGACCAGATCAGGATGTCCCTTTTATATTCTGGTCTCTGGTGCTCCAAAGTTGCCCGTTGTCCCACTCTGCCACTTCTCTGCCTGTGCCCACCGCTGGGTCTCTATACTTCTGTCACAGCGTTTCCTTTTGCAATTCTGTGGGCAGCAAGAGGCAGCAAGCTTCTCTTTTCAGTGCCAGCCTTTACTTGTTTATGGGGTTTTAAGGTAAAACGCATCAGCACTGCAGCTGCTTAGCGCAAGGGTGCCTGAGAAGCTGAGATTTTAAGGACTGTTAAATGCTCATGATGCTAAATGTGAGGTGTGACTTTTTGAAAGACTCACAGTGGGAGCAGATTTGATTGGATTTCCTCAAGGACCACACAAGAGACATCTCTGATGCAAAGGCAACAAAGTTCATGCTTCTGTTTCTAAGCAGGGCTGACCAAGAACATCTCAAAAAAAAAAAAATTACTCACATTGACATGATTTTTTTTTTAGCAGAAGAGAAATACCTTATTATTTTGTCTGGAAAGGGCCAAATTTAAAGATAAAATTAAAAAATATAAAAGAAATTTCAAAGAAAAGAAAGCAAAACATCAATCCAAACTGGCGAAGTTATTACCAAACTATTCTAGAGAGAGGTTTAATTGCACACATCATTACTTGCCTTGTTTTTAATAAACTGTGACTAATCAACATTTTTCATTCCCTCTTCATTTGTTTTTGAAGTATTTTTTTCTGTTTGATTTTTTTTCTCTCAGAGTGAGAAGTGTCACCTCCAGTCTCTCCTTGTTTTATTTGAAGGCCTATTGCATATCTCAATTATAATTTTAACAGCTTCATTTAGGGAACAGGGTATAAAATCTTTAATTAAAAATTACCGTCTCTACTATATCAATTAGGCTTTAGATGTAAAAAAAAAGTTGTTACATGTGCAAGCAAGAGTAGTTTGAAACAATCTCGATAAAGATCTTTTTCATATCAATTGCTTGAATTGCGTTCTCTTTGCTCCTGTGAATCTAATATCATAATTACATCTCTCATAAAATCCTCCAGGCTAGATGTGAACCCTTCAACTGAGATGTGAATCTCTATAGGTGAAAAAAAACTTCTAGGTCCAGCTAATAAAAGGTAAATGAAGAAAGAAATTAAAAAGCCAGAAGTATTAGTTTCACCTTACCATGTCACCTTGTAGGCAATGGAAGTGTGACCCTAAATAAAATGTGTGGAAGCTCTAATTTCATTGTAGGATGCCTTTAAACCAGACTCAGTGCTTTTCATTGCGAGTCAAACCTTTAGCAGTTTTAATACATTAAATTTTTTGTGCTTGGTCCAAGTCTACATCTGAAGGATTCAGGGGACTGCGAGTTGTGGAGGAACCTTTTCACCCTGGGTTACAGATACAGGATAGAGAAGTCTGCTGGTTATCAGAAGTCATTATCACCCATTGTTTTTCCGTGGTGTATCTGATCTGACTGAGTAGCATGCAACGATCCCATTTTGTGTGGAGACGTTGTAGTCCCAACAGGTACTCCACCAAAGGCCACGGGCTTGGGGTGTGATTTCGAAAGGTGTCTGTGCTCCCTGAATGAACAGCAACCACAGCAAATTAGCACCTCTGAGTATCAGTCTCAGGATTACCCTCTGGTGTATACAGGCAGATCTTTGGTAGGGAAGCTGTGCATTTAGCAATCAGGGCTGAAAAACTCATGAGACCAACCCGCAATACCCCTAGGGCAGAATCATGTTCTGTTCCCTCAGTCTGAAACCTCCTGGAGCAAATTACAGCTCTGTAACTTCGGGTACTACGAAATGAGCAAAACACTCTTTCAAAGTGATTTGAGCATTCCTAAAGCTGTGCTTTATTTTGAACAGAGAAACCAGGCAAACCCTATTTCAGGAAAAGGGAAAAATCGGATGCTATTGAGTGCATATCAGAGAGCTACCCCCAGCCCTCTTTGGAGTGGATATTTTGCAAAACACCTGAAAAGAGGTATGGTGTATGTTTATATGTATCTCTAGATGGAAAGTTTGCCACCTTCTGAAGAAGGCGGCAGAGATAACTGAAGAAGAGCTTTGAGGTCAGAATTTTTGGAGACAGGCTTTGCTGGGCTGCACATTCACATGATGGTTGAAAACCTGTGTCTGCACGATCCACTTTTGTAGTGCTGCAACACATTTTTCTTAGAAATTTTGGCTGTTGTGATCTTTGGGAAACTTTCAGCTCTTGACTGATTTTAATATTTTGATGTCACCAGAGCAAATCAAAGGTATCTCATTTCCCTCTAGTTTTCACATTTTTGGAAATGTGAATGCATTAGAGCTGGGAAGATGTTACAAGGGATCATAATTTTCCAAGTTAAATATGTGGGGTTTTTTTTCCATTCTATCAATATATAAAGTTGATTATATTAACAGCAGGAAAAATGCCTTTCTCTACAGCTTGGGATCTGGGTCTCATAATGACCACCAGGAATTCAGAAATGTGGTGTGAGAACTCAGCCTCTATGACCTCACTCTTGTCCAGATTTTAGTTACAGCATTACCTGTATATGAGCCATTTTGAGCGTATTCAGGTCATTTTAGCTCATATTTCTGCCCAGGCTGTGACATTTTTATTTTCTTATCTTCACCTTTCCTAGTTCCTTTTTATTCAGCTATGTAAGATCCAGCTTTCCCACTATTGTTTGCATATTCTCATGGCTTGGAGATTTATCAGATTTATTTGCTTGAGGTTAACCTAATGAGTCAATGAATAATTGTGTTTGTAATTGCAGTTGCCCTGATAAAATGCATGAAGAATCTGGGGAAATAGATGGTATACAGAAGGCACAACATGAATTATTTCAATCTTATATATGGTGCTGTGCAGTTAACGACCTGGGCAGAGAATGCACCAGCCTCTTTACAATAGGTAACTTCCCTCTAAGGTTTGCTTATACACGAGCTGGATCCTGCTGCTGAAGTTAGTTGCACTACTCATCTCACAGAGAGATTTCTGGGCTAAGCTACTTGTTTGTTGTCACTGGAACAAATCTAACAGTGGATATGATTGCTCCATCTCATGTTTAAACCCTAGATTCTAATAGCTTTTTGTAGTCTCTGTAAAAATGTCTTGCCCTTTTACGTTTTCTGCACTTCTATTATCTTTTTCTGCATGCTTTTAGGGCTCTGTTGCAGTGAAATGCAGTTCAAAATGTTCTTAAATATATAAATTTATCAATAATTAGAAATTAATATATACATTCAGGTTTATTTGTCTGTTTTTTTTAAATAAGCCTGACCTGAGCTAAGCTCTGTGCTGAACTGTGCCATATAGATATCTTGTAAATTATCACAAAATTTAGTTTGAAATGTCTAAATCCATCAAATTTCATGATTAATTAGTAATTTCCCCGAATTCTAATTATCCTTACAACATAATAACGGATGTCTATACAGTGTCAGCAGAAAAAAATGTTGATCTAATTGAACATTTTTCCAGGCAAAGTGATGGTCATTTCAGTTGAATTCTAATTATCATTACAACATAATAATGGATGTCTATACAGTGTCAGCAGAAAAAATGTTGCTCTAATTGAACGTTTTTCCAGGCAAAGTGATGGTCATTTCAGTTACTATGTTTTGATTTTGTAGATTTAAATGAGAGACAAGCAGCACCTTTACCTGAATTACTTCTTAAAGTTGGTGAGCCCTTGCTAATCAGATGCAGAGCTGTTTACCGTAATTATAAATTTGGAATAAAATTATCTTTTGAAAACAAAGAAGTTGAACAGGTAAGAAGACTGGGCATATTTTAAAATAGCCAGAATAATATTAGGCGCAATCAAGTGATTAAATGGGAATCTCTGTTGAAAACCAGGACCGCCGGTTTGAAGGATTAGAGTATCAAACGGATCGCTCAGCAATTCGGATCCAGTATGTGTTTGCCTCAGCAGCAGAAAGAAGCCACAGTGGACATTATACCTGCTCTTCTACCGTTCATCCGAATCAAACGGCTTTGGTTACAGTTTTAGGTAATTCCAACCCCTCAGTGTTAATCTTGTCCCTCGGTTGGTTGTTTTGCTTTGCTTTCCACGTGGCAGTTTTTTGCTTGGAGGTATGCAGCGCGTTTATTCTTCCTTTTCTAAGGAAAAAGGTCTGTCTGCAGTTACTGGCAGTCCAGCAAAGCCAAGAGATTAATCTGAATTGAGTCACTCTGGTACTGGAAGATAATCAACCTTCTCTTTATATTGCTTTTCAAATAATTCCCATTTAAAGATGCCACTTTTAGAAGTGAAATGAAATGGCATTGTTTGCAGATCTGGTCTACATGACTACATGTCTACACGGTCTGGAATGACCAGTGACTGGTTTCAAGTAATATGAGACAGAAACATCCTGCTGTGATTCCAGTATTGGTTTTGAAAAGCTGCAGCCATGGCCTCAGCCTCCTCTGCACCACTTCCACTCCATTTCTCTTCACTCATGTACGGCACCTCCACCCCATCTTTGCTCCACCTTCACAGGTGGGGAGGTAAGGCAGAGGTCCTCATGGCCTAAGCCCTGCTGTTTTCTGTGGTCCCTTCAGGTGCTTGCTGCTGTTCTACAGGAAAAAAAAGCAGATAGAAAATGTGTACCAGGCCTGTCCTGGGTCTGCCAGGAAGGAATCAAACAGTTGGAAGGTTCTTGGTGGTGGGCTCCCCAACTCAAAACCCAGAACACGCAAGAAACAACCATTTCCTCTTCTGGTGGGGGAGTGACTGACAAGTGGCCGTTTGCGTTTGCCAAACATTTAGGGGAAAGTAAATCTGGGGAAGAATCTTAGCTCTGAAAGCTGTGGAACTGGTAGCAGAAGAGGAATGAAAACTTTTGTGTTTGTGGAGAATGTAAGCCCAGAGAGATGATGAATAGTGAGTGCTGACAGAGCTGGCAAACTGCCCTGCAGAACCACTGCTGCAGCTGTGATGGATCTGACGGAAAACCTGACACTAGAGAGACAACTGCTCCAGTGTTATTGTTTGTGCTGTGTCTCCTGCTTTCCGGGCACTGAAGGGAACCATCCTCCTAAATCCAAGCTACACAAGGCTTGAAAATGTAAAAAAGTGAAAGCACACCAAAGGAAACCTCATTCTATTTAAGCAACATGTTGATGCAAAAGCCAGCAGTGTTGGACTTAGTCCAGAACAGCCTCGACTGCAAACCTTGTTTCTCAGATGGAAATAACATACAAATAGGCATAAGTCTGGAAATAGGGCATGAAAAGGAAAGCTGCAGTTCGGACTGTGCTGCAGGAGTAGGCACTGAGAATAATTTTCTGACTGGTGTGCCTGCAGTTGGAGTCTGTAGCCCTGAGAACAAGGCTTTCTGAAGCACTCACCACACGTTTGACCTTAGATGTAGTTGCCCTCAGTTTACAACACCTAAGCTAGGAATGGTAGGAAGTGAGAATACTTACCCCTGTCCTTCAGAAATGACTTTCCCAGTGCAATATCCTCTTTTCAGCTTATGCCTACCACTGAGCAGAACATCCTGTCATCATTTACAATAACCGAGTACGATACCTGAGCTTTTCTTTCTAAACACATCTTGGTAAACAGGAAGGTAGGGGTGAGGGAGTAGTGTAAAGGCAGGGCAAGATCCTCTTCTTTCTCAGTACTGGCGCCCAGTTCAGAAATAGTGGCTTCTTGGATCTGTAAACTATCAGGTGTGAGCATGTGTCACATTAACAGAGGGGATTTGGGCCACTGTCCCTGGAAGGCTGTGTTTCTGAGTGGGGTATTTTTTGACTGGGGTATGCCAAGCTACAATGATCTTCTGTACCCTCCTTAGTACCCCTTATGCCGACAGAATTTTTGAGGGCTCATTGGCTTTGTTGATGAAAAAATCTGTTTGTTTACTTACATGGTGGATTACAGTGGGAGGATGATGTCATACCAAGTTAACAGCTGTGCTTCTCTCTCCAAGCTTTTTTGGAGAGAGAATTAATACATTAGCCTGTTGCCTAATGTATCAATGACAACCATTGTTGGTGTGAATTTGTGCTAGCACCCCAGGTTCAATTTCAGAAGTGATATAGGTACAGGTTTCACTCAGCTGTCCCTGTCATAGGGTAGCAGTTTCTGAAGTGATCAGTGTCCTACCTTTAAACCACCCCTGTGCTTGAGTCAGGACCCAGAGCTACACTGGGAATGGTCATGATGTAACAATCAAGAGAAAACTGGTTTGTTTGGCACATGCTGCATGGCCTGGGGACCCTGGCTAGCATAACTACATTGATGGGTGGTCTTCTAATCTCTAATAAAGCCCTGCAGCCAGAGACCTCTGGTTTAGTCTTTGCTAGTTGATACTTCGTGAACTTACCCCATCTTGTGTAGCTGGTCAGGTCAGTCAGGGTTGTTGGGCCACTTTAAAGCACAACAGAGATGATGCCAACAACTGCAGCTGCAAGGCTCTTTGTTTCTGCAGTTCTTATGCTCAATTTCTACCAGGGTTGAGGAAAGAATTTTTAACACTACGCAATCTTGATGCTATTTTGCAACACATTATGTTTAAAACAACAACTAAACAAATACGATAAATACAGACACTGAAAGCCTTGATTAATACGATAAATACAGACACTGAAAGCCTTGATTATCAGTCTCAAGAATTTCATCTCACCTCTCTGTCATTACCAAATAATCACTGTTTCTCTGGCAGAAATATGCTTACATCTGCCAAAAAATGATGAATCCAGCAATAATGTGCTGTTTTATTTCTCCTTCAAGAAAGATTCTAAGATACTTTTTTTGAGTTGTTTTCCAGAGAAATGGCATACCCTGCTCCAAGGTCCTTGTATACACTCTGGAGAGAGCTTTTACTCTTGACTGGTTGTGTTATTAGCACACACAGAGGTGGCCTTCTGCCTGGAAGGATGAAGTCCAAAAGATCATTCAAAAAATTGAAGGTCCAGTTTATAAAACCAATAAGCCTTTATTATCAAAAAGTAGGAGAACAGTCACAAAAGGATTTGCTTCTTGTTTTAAAATACTGACATTTTTGTGGTTTATGTGGGAGTTTCCAGATAGTATTTTTTTAAAAAAGTAAGCTAGACATGCCAACCAGCATATAGGGTTACAACCAGAAGAAAAACACTCAAAAGGAAAGGCAGTCCAGTCCAGCAATATTTCTACAGTGCAAATTTTGTACCATGTGGCTGATTAAACACTGGCACAAGTTTCCCAGAGATTGTAGTCAACTTCCTTGGAAATACCCAAACACAACTGGATGTGGCTCTGAGCAACCTCATCTAGTTGGACCTGCTCTGAGCAGGAGCTGGGCTAGACATCTCTGGAGATCTCTTGCAATGTATATAGAATCATAGAATCGTCTAGGTTGGAAGGGACCTTAAAAATCATCTAGTCCAACCATCAACCTAACTGTGACAAAAAAATAAATAAGAAATAAGTAATAAAAAAAATCACTAAATGATGTCAACCCATCTTTTGAACACCTCCAGGGATGGTGCCTCAACCACGTCCCTGGGCAGCCCATTCCAATGCTGGATAACCCTTTCCATGAAGAAATGTTTCCTAATATCCAAGCTAGACCTCCCCTGGTGCAACTTGAGGCCATTTCCCCTTGTCCTATCTCCTGTGACTTGGGAGACGAGACCGACCCCCGCCTCTCTACACCCCCCCTTCAGGTAGTTGTAGAGCATGATAAGGTCTCCCCTCAGCCTCCTCTTCTTCAGACTGAATAACCTCAGCTCCCTCAGCCTCTCCTCATAAGACTTACTCTCCAGACTATGATTCTGTGATTTTTACAAAGCTCATCTTAGCCCCACTGATGCCCTTAGGAGACCCTCCTCCCACATGTGTCTGCTGTTGAATCTCCTTAGGTGGGATTCATTTCACTTCATGAGACATCTAGCCTCAGCAATGACTTTGGTTCCTTCAGCAGCCAGTGTCAAGAAACAGATATTTCTTGAAGCAGCTCTGTATATCTTCGTTATCTTCTGTTTTAGGATGGGATACATATGGACATGCCTATCTCGTTCCACTGAGTTTATTAGAGGTCCAAACAAGTAGGTGGGTCACTGAACTTCAGACAGCTCCATCAGGCGAAACTAATCCTACCCTATCAGGGCAAGTACCAGCAGCTCACAGTTCATGCACATTTTCAAAACACTTTTTCATGTTGCTGCTGTCTTGCATCAAATCTATCTAATTTAGATGGAGAAGTAAAGGAGCAGCTACAAGATTCATTTGCAAAATCTTCAGCTCATTTCAGGGAAGAAGAAACGGCCGCTATCAGCATCTGATTGTGCTGGTGGTGCCAGCTGATTTTGTTCACTGTTATAGGAAAACAAGGAGATGCAGCTGTTAACACCTGGAACACACACTTAAACCAAATCAAACAAATAATGACATTGTTGGCCCTGGGGCTCTGTAGGGCAAATGGGGGAGAAATGTCGGACCATTTTGGAAGGTCTCTGGTCTGACCAAATGTGCAACTTCAGCAGGCTCAGATTATTTGTCTGCAAATGAACACAGTGACATCATTTCAGTACTATTTTGAAGCATTATCTTATTTTGATTAGCAGGATGCCTGTTGTGATATTAACATGGTGCTTTTTTTTTTGCTTGTGATAAAACAAACGAAAAACATACATATGTCAAAATTCCTTCATTAAATAGTCCAGCCTTTGTAATATAATATAAAGAATTTCTTTTTTTTTTTTTTTTCCAGAAAAGGGATTTATAAATATAACCAACTCTAAAGAAGATTTTGAAATTGGTGAGGAAGAGTTTTGCTTTGAAGTTAACTTTACAGCCTATCCACCAGTTAGATGCATGTGGCTATTTTCCAAAAAAACATTTCCATGTACACAAAGTTACAGTGTGGATGGACGCAGGTACTTGAATATTTTGGAATCATTTGATGTAATAATGTTTCCTCTTTATATCTTGTTTGGACTGCTTTCTGTCCGTGCTTTGTACCCTCTTTGTGCTTTTAGAATGTGGATAGATAGACTAGACTAGACATAGACATATAGATTAGACTAGACTAGACCTAGACTCATAGAATCATAGAATTGCCCAGGCTGGAAGGGACCTCCAAAGGTCATCTAGTCCGACCTCCCCGCAGTCAGCAGGGACACCCCCAACTAGACCAGGTTGCCCACATGATGAAGCTGTGTTAATAAAAGGCACTCAAACATTATTTTGGCTTTCAGCAGCAGTTCATGTAGATAACTTATAGAATAGTATGTTATGATAAACCCTTTGGTACGTTACGCATCTAGCAGCCCATTAGTTTATATGCATTTTGCCATTCCCTTTCTCTCTGACATAATCTCTCAGTAACAGCCCTGTTGCAGTTTTCATACAGCAAGTTCTACGTGTTCTCCTTTTGTCATCCTGTTCTTGATGATGTTCCCAGTGTCTTTCAAAGGGCTCAAATCGAGTCCAGGTCCCCGTGATTTCCCAGACTGTCGATAGATCTGTTCGGCTCTGCCTGTGCCACAGAAACATACCGTTCTGCTCATTACCCAGGTCATGTATTCTTCCGCTGCTGAAAAACATGTTTTGAATAAACCTGTTAGTTATCTACCTTTTCTGTTACTTCCCACAATGAAGTTCTGGCATGAATCCCGTTTAAGGCTAATGTTTTCTCCATTCCCTAGGCTTTCTAATTTCTTGATAACATTATCTAGTTTCCTTCAGAGTTTCTTTCAGAGTAGTCCCATGGCTTTCAAGGTAACAGCTCTTATTCACCTCAATGGAAATAAAGCCAAGGGGCTCTTTTCAAGTTTTTTATTTAAAACCAAGGCAGGAGTTAACAAGGCTGCACTGATTTCCACTCATTCTTAAAACCTCTCTTAGCATCTGCATAAAACTGTGTCACAGCCTTGATTATAGTTTTTATTATTTATTTCTTCAGTAATTTGGTGCAGTCGATTGTATCCCCTAGTGTGTCGAGTCATCTTTGCAACAGACTGGCCTTTTCATCTGCATCAGATGGTGTATTGGAATCAGACCTTCACGAGGTTCAGAGACAGCTCAGTTCAGATTAGTAAATTGTCCTCTCCTGGCAATGGCCACAGGAACTCTGTCCCTGCTGATAAAGTGAGGGCTGTCGGCAAACTTTGATAGCCCTGGGTGGGTGGTGGTGACTAATCTGCAATGCTTGACATGGGCTAGGCAGATCTGTTCTTTGTGGTCAAGACTGATTTTGGAAATGAGGTCTCAGGGGACACCCATGAGCATTTGCTCATCCTTGTCCAATAGGTGCCTCCCTCCAGCTGATAACGCTGAGCTGATTTGATTTGCTTTGCAGCTGGTATGGACCTCTCCTCCGTGCTTATAAGAGCTGGAGTCAGTTTTGCTTGGATGATTGACAGCTGGTGTAAATTCAATCCAGATAAGAGGGAGGTGCTATAAACAGGGCCAACAATAACAACTGAGAACTCTTGGAATAGCTTAGGTAACTCTCATTAATCAGTAAGGTGCAGCCGCTGGTGGCTTGGGATTTATGAGTCACTTCAGATAGCCTTTGCAGCCAGAAGTGGCAGTTGCTGAGTGCTGATCACCACCTGCCGGACGGGAGAAAGCCCAGCCTGTGTCCTTGGAGCAGCCTATCCTGGGCTGGATCAGGGCCACAGCCACCCCACCGCCCCAAGCATCACTGGAGGCTTCTTCAAACAGATATCTCAGTCATTCATACAACTATGCTGTTGATTTAATAATACTTTTTTTTTTTTCATTTTAGGTAGTTATACTTTCCTTACATATCATACTATTTATTTTATGGAAAAATACAATTGAGGGAAAAATACATGAATTTGGTGATTATTTCTGACAAGTACATTCCTCTGTACAAACATCCCCCTAGCTATCCAGTTTTGGTTGGAGACTAGCACTAGACAGACACGTCTCACCTGAGGAAAAAGAGTAGGGGTATATATTTCATTCAGTTTGAAGTCCCCAGAAACAGCAAGGGGTGGAGAGGTCAGGAGATTCTGCCTACAAGCTCTAGCACTGCAGATTTCAGTGCGATTTTAAAGCAGGAGGTTTCTTGAAACAAAACAAAAAAAGTCATCACATACCTTAACGTATTGCAAGTCTAACTTTGCACACTTTAGTTGACTTCTGTGTAATGCCATCTCCCAACACTTCTACTTTATTCCTTTCATATCCTTTTTCGTTTCCTGATTTTGTATTTTTTTTATTTCTGCCATTTCCTTATCAAAATGTTCCTTCTGATTATAGATCATATTCAATTTTATTTATTAACTCTGTCTCCTTCTTTAGATTTTAATTTCAAGTCCCAAGGATTCATCTCTCCTGTTAGTGACCTTATGTGTTTTCTGAAATTCCTTCAGAATTTCCATTTTCCATTTGCTTTTGTTGTCTCTGTTTTAGCACACTGCTGATTTTCACTTCTCTCCTAAGAGCAAATGAGTTTTCATACACAGAATGACCTCTGTTAAATTTATAATATTTATCTCACATCCCCTTATATTTTCAGGTACCAAAGATGCTCTTTTAAAATTATTTTCTCATTATTTCATTAGGATTTAATCCTTCAGACCTAGGATTTCAAAAGCAACAAATTATTTGTGGTTTCTGCTGCCTTCAGTATCTGTTTTGAAGCAGCTTAAAAAGGGGGCTGATTTTAAAAAGTCCCTGAGTCCAGGGACATCTTTAAGGCCATTTCAGGTGAAGACGTTCAAAAGTCAATAACGATATGGAAGTGTTGCTTTAGTCAGAAGGCAAAATTGCCAGTGGCTTCAATGTTTTCTTGCTTTAGAATTGCAAGGTGATACTTGGTGTCTTAGTTCATTTGTATGTAACCTGCTTAATGAGAAACACCCTGATTTTAGTTGTATAGAATTCTTGTTCTAGGCTCATTACCTCTTTCTCTTACTTTGCAAATTACTGGTATATGCTGTTGTTTTCCTGTCTGCTTCAAAATCCCTGATGTACCCACTTGCCTTTACCACTGAAGTTGAGTTGGGGGCCTCCCGCCCAGTTCTCCTTGAGCAGGCTGAATCATCTGCCCTCAAAATGCCAGCAGCTAAACCTAAGAAGGGATTTTTTTAAGTGCCCTTCTAACACCGGTGAGTTGCAGTAGCTTCCACTTAAATGGCAGTCATCCTGACAAGAATAACCTGGTCAAAAGGACAGAAATGAGACGCTACCTCTGTAAGATGATCCATTCCTTTCTCCCTGCCTTATCCCATGTCCCATAAACCAGTGATTCAACAGGTCAGTCGTGCAGGAATCTTTAAGTCTCTGCAGTCCTCTGTTGTTGGCTTCTGCCCAGGGACTTGTTAGAGCCCTCCCTCACCATTCCCGTTCTCACACACTGTTTCCTGCCTGGTTTGGGTCTTGGTTTACTGCCATCACCATGGGGGGTTAGAAGGCTGGCCTTCCTCCTGCAGAAATATCTTGATGGTTGGTGCTTTGTCTCGTTGATAAAGAACTTCTGATGATGATCTCATTTCTGAGTTTCTGTCAGATCTTTCCATTTGGAGAGGTTTATCTCATGTTATTTCCTAATAGTGTTTATCATATTGGCTAGAAACTCCCAGCAGAATCCTTTGGAGTGTAGAGAGTTTGATCCTTTGCAGGTCTTAGCATCTGTGCCAGGATGTGTAACACACCTTGTCTTCCAGTAGACCGGTAACAAAATCACAGCCTGACAGCCCGGATGCACTCCAGGAACTATGAGGGAAATTTCAAAATTAAATCAATATTGCAGGAAAAAAAATCTTCTTATCAAAACAGTTACATTCTGGGGTTCATATTCTCTAATAAAAATAATTTAGTCTGGGTTCCTCATTAGAAGATGTTTAATTGTTTCAGACATAGATATGAGTCTTGACTACATTTAAAATCTTTTTCAAGTTGGTCTTTTGTTCTTTTTCCTGTCTTTTCTTTGCTCCACAGCATTTCATCAAAGTTCTGCAACCATCAGCACCAGTCTGGAATATATATATTTTATGCTGAAAATGAAGATGTGGTCATGACAAAAAAATTCACTCTCTACGTGAGAAGTAAGTGAGAAAACAATCGCTGTGAAGATTTCTCAAAGTTTGGCTTTTTGCCACTGATATAAATGGAGCTAATTTGTTGCTTTTCCCTTGGTATTTCTTATTTAATTCACATAGATTTATTGTTAAAAATGGAGGAGCACAGGGCAAAAATGGGATTCTTTTCACACGGTGCTGCACTACTGAAATCCAGGCACTGGGTTGGAGAAAATTGCCGGCTGCTTGTGGCTCATGTTCCTTGTGTTGGTCAGGGATGGAGAAGAGAGGAAGGAGGAGGAAGTTATTAATTTTTTTTCTCTTCCCTTTAGTCTGCCATAAACAGAGAGGACAGAATAGGAGAAATCAGTCATATAATGAGAAAAGTAGTACTTCTTAAGAAAACCACAAAGCCCAGGAGCCCTGTAGGACACAACGACCATATTCTAACTCTACAGAGCCAGAATAGATGTGACTGCTGTAGAGACCACATGAGATACACAGTGAGAGGAAACACTTATCCTCACTATATGTTAGCTTTCTATGGTGTGTTTATGCCTTTTTTTTTTTTTCTTCCTAATGGCATTTGTGAGTTTATGGAGTTGGTCAGGAGAGCTTTTGGTATGTGTCACATGTTAGGGCTGCCCTGCCTCCTACCCCCTGCCCACAGCTCTCACACACAGGCACAGCCTTGCCTGCTGCTCTGGGTTATCTCAGTTCTGCCATGTGACTGTAGCATCTCACCCTTGCTCTAGTCATCATTTTTTATTAGATATATTCTTTATACAGGGGTCCTCTGTGCACATTTTGTACCAGCCAGACACCCAGAACTGGGGTGTCAGGGGAGTCCTAGGGCCAGCTGCTTGCTCTGAGTCAGAAAAGCAGAAGTCAAGACTTCTAATTTTGGCTCTGCCACTGTTTTGGTCTGGCTGTGCCCATACAGAGAAGTGGTTGCTCCCCTTGCCTTGCCCACACTGCCATCCCACAGAACCAAGGCACGGGGCTGGAGGAAGGAGGAGGCCCAAGGGCTGCAGCCAGCTCTCACAGTGGGATGCAGATGGGCTATTTTGAAAACACAGAAGCAGATCTTGGTGTTAGCAGATGTAGCTTTGCCACATGAACGTAAAGGTTTTGGTCACTGAGGTGGTGACAGAAATTGTCTTGTGTTATCTTGTTGCAGAAAAGCCTGAAGTAACGATGCAGCTGTTGTTCAAGCAGATCTTGTGTGTCGCTGACAGCTACCCTGTCTCGTCCTGGGTTTGGAGGAACTGTCCCCAACTGAACTCATCCAAGTAAATCTTTTTGATTCATTGCAAAGACCCTATCTGAGCTACCCTTGGTTAAATGCAGGCGGTCCTGTAAGAAACTAAGTGTAAAATGCACTCTCGACCATCTGTACAAGGGGACATGGTGGCATACTCCAGGGGAAACAGATCACCAAAAATAGGGAAAGTTTTAGATATTATTTTTTTTGCATCAAATGAAGTCTATAAAGATCTGTATCTCAGGCTCTTTACACTGAAATCAACCCCACTGGATTTACATCAACAGTTTGGTAGTTACAAAGTCCAATCTAAGTTTTTCTCTTGGCCTGTCAAACTTAAGAGGCCATTCAGGGAATGCATTGGTTAATAGGGCTTGATTAATTGGTTAAGCTTTGGTTAATACAGCTGTTACAGTGACCTGTAACCAAAGCCAGTAAAGTCACTGACAGTGTTTCCAGTAAAGTTAGTGAGAGTGTTTCCATTTCCTCTATTTGTTTAGGGCAATGAGTCAGGCCCTAAAATTTCAAGAGATGCTGAAACAGCTTTGAGCTGTTTCATGAACTCTGCAGTTTTTATTTTAGATGTGCCAAAAAAGCTAATAAACCCTCAGTGCAGAAGAGGACTGCGTCAAATTATGTTTTGGAAGATTGTGGATAAAGCTGCAAGTATTTTAACTGCATATAAAAAAATATCTAGACCACTTTCTCATCCATAACTCTGAAAAGGCTTCCTAACATCAATCTGTGCAGAAATGGAGGAGGAAGGAAAACATCCAGCTAGTGAGTTTAAAATACTCCTTAAAACAGCTTTCTGGAAAGAAAATGCTGTGACATTTCTTTTCTTGGGAACTTCCACATGTAGGAGCCAAATGTGTAGAGCTGAATAAATTTTATTTATTTACTTACCTCCTCCTTTATTTATGGGGACAGTAAATTAGGCAGTGAGTTGATGAATGATAGAAAATCTAAAAGTCAAAATTATCTCTGTTTGGGCTTCCTTTCCCTTGAGTATAACATTCCCTCTTTCTACATGTCAGGTCTTAAATAAGTAATTAATACAGGGTGGATGCTCTCCATCTTGAGTGACAGAAACTCCGTGGCTGAAATCACATACCTTCAGGGAAAGGAGTTGGAACTTTTACTGTGGGTTCATTTGGTATTTATTGCTTTAGTAGCAGCTCATTTGGAGCTGCTCAGTGGTTTGAGTGTTTGAGGTAGAGGTGAAACCAGTCAGAATAAATGTGGTAGTGGGAGTTGCCTCAGCTGGAGGTCCCGGAGGTCAGGGGATGCAGATGTCCTGCCAGGACAGTGGTGGAAAGTGAGAGTGAGCCCAGTGTAGAAGGTAAGGAGCCTGGTTCATCCTCCTCTGGCCCTGCCATGTCCATCACCAAAGAATGAGACTGGCAACTGCTCTGAAGCCTCACTCTGAAGCCTCAACACTGACAAATAAAAAACAAGCCCATCTATCTCTCCCTCCCTCCTTTCCTTCCAACACAGACATAAATCATGTTTTGAAATATCCTACCTTCTCCCTTGGAAAATGCCACTGTGAACCAAAAATCGAAACTGGTTTGCTTTCTTTTTCAGCTGTACAGAAGAAATCACTGAGGGGATTCACAACTTCTTGCCAGAGAGGAGATCCCTGGGCTCATGGATTTCAAGCAGTATTTTAGATGTAAAGGAGACAGCAACAACCTTCTCCGTTGAGTGCTGTGCAAACAATTCTGTTGGTTCAGCCTGCGAAAAGAGTTTCATTAACCTGTCAGGTACCATAACCACTGCTTTAGCACCGGTTTTCTCAATTAAACCTGGCATAGTAGAACTTACAGTATTTTTTTATCTGGCTGAATGGCTGACTGTGCAATAGCCTTGCAGGTAAAACACAAGCACTGTGTATATACAGTGTGGGAAACGGTTGGTGAATGGAAGATGCCTGTATCTCTTCTCTGGTCCAAAAGCTTCCCTCATTAAAATGAGCAGAAATTTCACATTAATAGAAGTGCAGGATGGAGCTGTGGCAATGTTGGGGTCTGCTTATTTATTTCATCTTAGTAATCCCTACCTGAAACCTGGAGGCATCAGCTTTGGGATGAGCTGAAGCCACTTTGGTAGCTGGTGTCAGGTGTTGGCTCTTGTTCCTCTCCTGGAGATCACTGCTGGGCTTGTGGGAGCTCTCCTTACCTCATGGAGGTCTTTGCATGCCTGAGCAAGGGCATGACTCGGTCAGCAGACCCACTCAAGGGAGAGCAGGAGGGAGTACCAGGGGAGAGACCTTCTTAAACTGCTGTTGGCAGGTGGCCCTGGCTAAACCCTGGTTTGGGAACTGCTGTGCAGTCTCTCTTCTTGTTGAGGGCTTCCTTCCCTGTTGAACAAGAAAGTCAATATGATTATTTTCCCATGTACTTTATAATTGTAACACCATATGCATTCCATAGGGCAAAATATTTCAGTTAGAGGGAACATGCTATGGCACCTGGGGAGTGTTTGGAAGCACCCAGATATTTGCAGTACAGAGGACTCCTCTGTCGTGGATAAACAGGCTGTTTGCTGCTTCTGACTGCAGCTGGCAGAAGCTGTGACCACTGACAAGAGTTTGAGCATTTATGTTGAAATTGCAATAGAAAGTAAGCATAACACTTATGTTCTTAGAAACTACCAGAATATGAGGGTCAGTTTCATGTAACACCCACCTACCCACCGGCACCTTATGGCATGGTCCTGACTCGTTCAGAGAGCTCCTGGCTGAACCCCTGGGCAATGCTCTGAGCAGGTTGTGTACAGTCCATCCATTGATAACTGGTGCTTCAGTATCTGACGTACATTGCCTGGGGGAAGGCACAGGGAGAGAAGGGAGATGTGATGAGAAGAGGAATTGTTTATTCCTGTTTATGTCCACAATGTCCAATCCATAGATCACACCAACAACTCCGTGCATTTAGATTTATTAATGGATGTAGCCTTTTTTTTGCTTTTTTTTTAATGAAATCTGATGCCAGAATTACCCAGCACTTAAATCCTCCTGCCCAGCTCCTTGCTTTGCTCCAGGCTCCATCTCACTCCCCGCGCAGAGGAGGCTCAGGCGTGAGAAGACGGCAAACTGGCAGAACTGACCAAGCCACCATGGGTTCTTCTTGCACCTTTAGCTGTACACACGAGCTCCGATTCAGTACGTAGTAATATGTATCTCTTAAAGTTGCAGGAGCCGTTTCTTCCCCCCCGGACAATGTGGCATTCTATGTCTCTGTTGGATTTTTCCTCCTATTGATCGCTTTTTTGTTTGTATTCGTTTTTCATAAATACAAAAAGGTAAAAGCAAACATAAATACCTGCCCCTTCTTCTTTTGTTCCTACCAGGCTGTTTCTTCTCCTCTGGGACTTATTCTACTTTTTTTTTTTTTCCTTCCAAAGCAATTTAGATATGAAAGCCAGTTGCAAATGATTCAGATGATAGGCCCATCGGATAATGAGTACATCTACATTGACTTCAGAGAATTTGAATATGATCTCAAATGGGAATTTCCTAGGGAAAACCTGGAATTTGGTGAGCAGTCCACAAGGAAACCCACAATGCTGGAGTAGTAGCCTGTGGTGTAGCAGCTGCAAATAATATTGGCATATTGTGTCTTGTAGGACAGGTCCTCGGTTCTGGGGCTTTTGGGAAAGTGGTGAATGCAACAGCTTATGGAATTAGCAATGCAGGAGATTCAGTCCAGGTCGCAGTCAAAATGCTAAAAGGTATGATAAACCCTGGGTGCCTTTCACAAGCGGTGATGCGTTCTAGCAGCTCCAAAGCAGAAGGGGTGTTGGAAATCCCTCTATACGCAGACTTGTAGCAGTTACGCCTCACAAATGCTTGGTTTCAAAATCCTTTCAAAATGCTTTCCAGATCCTGTTTTAGTTTAGAAAGATATTGCTGAAGTGCCTTCTTCCTGCCGCATGTGTCTTTTTGTCCTACACACCACAGATCTGTGCTGTCGGGGAAGGATGGAGCTGCTCTGCTCTAAAGAGGATGAATGCAAATTCATAGTGCAGATTAGCCTGCTGGTCACATCGGTCACTCGGTGGACTTTGGAATAAAGTCCATTTTTCTTGCAGTGCTGTCTGGCTGTTGCACTCCCTTCGCCTCCTGTGTCTGAGCTAGCTTGTTTGCAAAACTTCCAGCACATCTTCCTGTAGTCTTCTTGGTGACACAAAGCCATTTCTTTCCATCCTTCCTTATGGGTCAGGCTTCTTAAACCTCTAAACCTCCTTGCTGCTTTGTTCTGGCCTCTCTCCAAACTGTACTGACCCCTTATAAAAGCAATATCCAGAAGTGAGCCTCTCTGGCAGCAAGCTCCCTGGCTCCGAAGCACCACAACGCCTTTGGTATATAACAGGATGACTTTAATATCAGCAACAGCACCAACACCCTGCTCACCTGTGTGCCCACACGGCCCCATCCTGCCAGCTCTGCCGTCCAGCTCTTCATCCCCCACCTGCACGTGTGCATCAGCTTTACGCTTCCTCCATCCACTCCTTTGCAGTTGTCTTTATGGAAGTTCACCTTGATCATTTTTGTTCACCTCCCCAGTTCACTGAGGTCATGAGGGCCAAATGCTTGCTGAAAACAAGCCTAAAGCTATTACTGAAATGCAGGGTGGGCTTCTTAGCTATTGGATCACAACTCTTTGTGTGCCACATGGCTTTTGAAACATTTTTTTTTTCTTAGCATTTCTCTCCAACAGGGTTGACCACCATTTTTTCTGTGCTTGTGGTCACTTTAGTATGCTGCTATCATTCCTTGCCAGCCTAGGAATGACAAATATTAACATTTTATGACTGCTTTCCCAAGCATTCAAATGATACACACTCGCAAACACATTTATTTTCCACCTTTAGCTAAATATTTTTATACTGTGCAAAAATTTTTAGAATGTCCCCAAATGTCAGTCCAATTAATTTGAAATGAAGACTTGCATGTGACAAAGCATCACGACCATTTACATTTTTAATTCTTTGCTGGAGATTTCCAAGTCTGTGTGTTACTTTTACAGAAAAACCTGACGCTTCAGAAAAAGATGCTCTAATGTCTGAGCTGAAAATGATGACTCACATTGGAAGCCATGAAAATATTGTGAACCTACTGGGAGCTTGTACCGTGTCAGGTAACTTGTGGAAAGGTACCAATTAAAATGTTCAGACTAGGACTGCTGAACGAGGACCCCTGAACAGAAAAGAAGTAACAAAAATTGATTACTGAAAGCAGTATTTAAACCACTCAAGCCATAATTAATCACCTGTTCGTCGGGCTGCTCTTCTCCTCTTTACCCCCAAGTCCTGTCTTTGTCCAATGAATTTTACTGTTCTGTGTCAACCTAAAATAAGGTGAAATTAAATCAAACTTAAGGTCATGCATGTATACAGAACTGGGTCCTTTCTAATCAAGCTTGCACAAAGTGACACAATAGCCCTTCTATAGAAGAGCTTTTCCTGTTACAGTGGTGATGGCACTGATACTAGCCAGTTTACTACACAAAAAGAAAAAACTTAACAGCGTAGGGTACTTTGTATCCACGTGATTCTGGTCACATAAAAAAAATAATCTTATTTTATTTTATTTTATTTAAAATCATATGGCTCACAAATAGTGAGGTTGTAGAAAGAAAAGCAAAAATGACTAAAGGCTAGGCAGGAAAGAAAAGAAACTGAAAAAAGAGCAGGGGTGGGGGACACACATAAAGAAATAAGAGGAGAGAAGTGAATAATGAGAAGAGAGAACTTTTTAAAGGATGTGAAAGGATTAAAGGATTTTAATGGATGTGAAAATAAACTGAAGATGGAAAGAACTAAGCAAAGGTGGGCTAAGATAAAAATGGCAAGGTATTATCACTTATTAATTATTGTGTGACTTGTGATATCATTGAGGCAACATATGTGGATATTCCTGTCCCGAGAACTCCCTCTCTGACCCGTTCAGCAGTGAGCAGGAGTGGATGGAGAGTGGCTAAAGAACACATCACCTTGGGGAAAGGCCAGGGCTTACCCAGTGTTTGCCCACATCATGAGCTGTAACACCTGCCACTGAAAAACTCGACAGATTTTCTGCCACAGAGATTGATTAAGTCAGAAAGACCAAAGATAACAATTAACTCTTGTTTCCCCAGTTTGCATCAACAGCAATACAGTCATGCAAAGGTGTTTGAGGCATAAGAGGAAAGCGGAGAAATATATTGTTGGTTGTGGCTTTAGCTGATTTGAAACTATACAGGCTGCCACTGCCTTCTGGAAAACCCAGTAAGTGTGATGGTGTAGGCAGGAGACCCGCAGGGAGACCTGCTCAGTCTGGCAGGATAGGGCAGGGACACTTCTAGCCTTATCCAAGTCCCATGTTCAGAAGCATTTACATGGCTCTCAAGACTCCACATCCGTCCTCTGAGAGACTTTACAGGCTTTTCACACTGTGTCCTACCTTGATTGACAGGGGGCTTCTGGCAGCAGAAATGCCCACAAACTTGTATTCGGTCTTTCTGAGGCAGAAGTGGTGATGCCACTGTAAGACTTTGCAGGGGTGATGTGTGACCACTCTGAGCTCTCCCTGGGCCATTTTCTCTGCTCCTGCTGGCTTGTCATGGCTTTCCTCTGAGCCTGCCTGCTCAGGAATTGGAGGTATTTTCCCTTTCTTGAGAAAATGGTCTGGCCAGTGGTCCACTCAGACACATCCCCTTGCAAGGTCTTTCCCTCCTACCGCTTGTCTCAGCAAAGTGTGCTTGGGTTCAGGTGGCCTTCATGGGGAAAAAAAAGGATATTTCTAGAGCATCAAGGTAGTGCAGATAAATGAAGGGGCATAGGTCAAAGGTTATCAATTCACACCATCAAAATAATTAGCAGGGGTCATCTTTTGCTTAAACCACATATGGTTTAGACAATATGTTGCATCTTTATAGCCTGTGCCGTCCTCTCCAGTGTCATGGGTATGGGGAAAGTTGTTTGTGCCTTCACAGGAATTTGCAATCCACCTTGGGAGATGTACCACAGGGAAAAATCAGCTACACAGACTTTCCAACGGGGCATTACAGCCAGTAATTATGGTCAATAAACATTACCCACCCATCAGTACAGGTTATGTACCTGCGAAGGAATGTTTAATACAGATTAGTCCTGGGAGAAGATGAGGCATCGTTAGGGCTTTAATGGGAGAGTGCTATAGATAGAAGGAGACATTTACATTTCCAACTATTTCAGGACCAATTTACTTGATATTTGAATACTGTTGCTATGGTGACCTTCTGAACTACTTAAGGAGGAAGAGAGAAAAGTTTCACTGGACACTGACAGATATTTTTAAACAGCACAACTTCAGCTTTTACCACAATATCCATTTCGACCAAAATTCCAGGTAAAGCATTCAGCAACGGTTTAATACTTTATAAAGCTACTGTCTCTTTTTAAGCTGCCGTGCTGTAAACTGGTGAAATTACTGAATTCTTGATAATGTGCCTTCACATACTTTAATAAGCAATGCCTTGGGAGGAACTGAGATTTGATTCTTCTCATGATGTTCTTTGCACTGGACTGCAAAAGACAAGCAATTCCTTCTTTCTCTTTCTAGCTTTAAGAAGACCCTTATCAGTGCCCAGATTTTTAATAGCAATAACTGATTGTGTTTTTTCACTACAAAACAGTTTATGTGTAGAGGATTATGTGATCCACTGTGAGTAACCTTTGAAAATGTGTCACTCACTCCAGGAAGGGAACTCACCTGAAGTATGGTGTGAATGCAGCTCTATGCAGAGAGGATGAATTTGAAATCGCACAAAGACAGAACATGAATGTGGCATCTGGATCAAATGGGATTGTGCTGTATTCAGAGGAAGGTAAGAACTTAATTGCTGTTATCTCTAGTAATTCTGTTGTTATTGTATTTTATATTATTGATCTAACTAGACTAGACACAGTGACACAGGAAAACCCCTTCTGTCTCTCTGGCAGAAATTTTGCTGGAGAACGATTCAACAACATTTAAGACCTCAGGGTTACATCATGCTATACATAGTATTTGAGTATAATCAGTATACTCTTTATTTTGTGTCTGACCAAAGGAAGCGAAAGATGGATGCTCTTTGTGATGTTGTTCTTGGTAGGAGCACAAGAAAATCCTTGTAGCAGTCTGTAGAATCAATCAGAGAGTGAGGAAGCCCACAGAAAAATCATATTGTGGTTATTTTTTACAGATAAAATTAAATATGCAAGCAGACAGATGGATGAAGAAGAGGATTTTAACGTGCTCACTTTTGAAGACCTTCTTTGCTTCTCTTATCAAGTTGCCAAAGGAATGGAGTTTCTTGAGTCCAAATCGGTATGGTGAAGGGTAGCAAATCGTTTAGACAGAAGAGACGGTAAAAATAGGTCAGTTTATGAAAGTCAGACTGAAGAACAGAGCCACACAGTGGCAGGCTTGAACCATACCTCCTTCCCTGGCTTTACAGCAGAGAGGGGGTTGCAGTTCTAGGCATGACTGAGTAAGGAGTGGCTGCACACTTCTGCCTGCTCTGGCCCTGTCCTTTGCCACGAGCACCCAGGATGCTCATTCTCCAAACGGTTTAAGTGGAAGGAGGCAACTCATTCAGAGACTTCTGTGGGAGACAAGGGAATTAACTCCTTCTGGTACCACATGCTGCAGAGTGTTAACCCATCCTTTCCTTCTAAGTGCATTCACAGAGACCTCGCTGCCCGGAATATACTAGTGACCCATGGAAAAGTGGTGAAAATATGTGACTTTGGCCTTGCCAGAGATGTAGTGAATGACTCCAACTACATAGTCAGGGGCAATGTAAGTTCCTGAATGCTCTCTATTTTTCATACCATTGTGAAAATGATGAAAAACCAAGGCAGTGAAGCTTTGCATTTTTAAATTCCCTGTTAGCTTTATAGAGATCTGTACAGTGCAGAAATCTCACTTTTTCCTGCCCTTATAAATAACGAAATCAAGCTAGTGATAGCACTGTAAATGAGATGATACCCATATCCTTTCTACAGCACACTGAAATCCATTGGTGGAAGTGCTGGGAATTGTGTGCTGTTATGGACAATAATAGTACAGGGGCAATAGTGTATGTGTGGGGTACACCAGACCCTCCAGCTATCTTAAGAAGTACAGGGTGGACATCTCCATCTGAACTACTCACCCTGGAAGCCAGAGGAGGGAATAAAGGTCTTCCAAGGCTGAGCTCATCTCCTCCTTAAATAGCCATCTAAAACAGATGAGATTAATTGGCTTCTTAGAAGTGCTTATTTCTCTCTATAAGGGAAATTTAAAGGGGCTACTAAGAGAGGCACAGCTTTTCACACAGCAAACATGAACTGATCCTACTCAAGCAGTGAGAACTACAGTGAGTCGTCTAGAAAGCCTGTGTCACAGCATGACTTGGTCTCCTTTCCCCCTGTCTGTACAGGCTCGTTTACCGGTTAAATGGATGGCTCCTGAAAGCTTATTCGAGAGAACATACACAATGAAGAGTGATGTCTGGTCTTATGGAATATTACTATGGGAAATATTCTCTTTGGGTATGTTCTGTAACACAACAAAAGAGCACTGCTTGGTTTTGGCAGCTTCTGAATTAACATGTATTCTCCAATATATTTTCCACAGGTGTAAATCCCTACCCTGGCATTCAGGTTGATACAAACTTCTACAAATTAATACAAAGTGGATTTAAAATGGACCGACCGTATTATGCTACAAAAGATGTGTAAGTGTATTTCATGAGTCGTGCACAGCACGGGAATTTAAATTTACTAGGTCATTGTTTGCATGAGCTTTTATTTATTGTACACTGTACCTTGCTCAAAAAAATCTCAAAAGGTGAGATCTTCCTTTAATTCTGAAAAGGGCTGCTTGATTGTTTAGGTTTTGTCCTAGAGCAGAAATGGTCAACACTAAAGATTATGTGTGTTTGAAAAGACTAATTTATTATCCCTATTTGATTGTGCCTTTCTTTCTCGGGAACATCATTCTTCTCAGATCACAGACTTCTTTTTCTTTTTCCTTTTCTTTTTCTTTTTCCTTTTCTTTTTCTTTTTCCTTTTCTTTTTCTTTTTGCAAAAGCTATGTTATACAATACTCATTTTGGATATTAGCTAAATCTTTGGTGATTTTTTCTAAACGTCTTTTTTTTTTTTTTTTTTTAAATTGAGCTTTAGTATGTTTGATTTAGTTCCAGGAGGCTAGGGATCCTCTTAGAGAAAAACCCTGGCAAGGAAGGGTTGGTGGGAGCTATTCCTGTGCTCTCAGCACATGATTTTGAGCCCGTGCCTGGGTGGACTCTGCCCAGAGATGGACTTCAGAAGACAACAGAAGAGAAGGTGATGGGGAGCTACGAGACCTTGGGCATGGAAGAAAGGGAAGAATTTTAGGTCATCTCTTCTGGCAGACGTTTACATAGATGGCCTAGGGGCTCAGTGCCTTGGTATGGCTCTGTACCATTGTAGAAACTCATCTCATTGTAGAAACTGTAATGGCATTAATGGTACAGGTAAATCTGACAGATTCCCCTGAGAAAGGTTGCTGTGGGGCTTGAAAATACCAGGGAATGTATTGACCTGGTAAGTTTGCAAGGGACTTTACCAACTAGGCACTGCACTGGTTCCTGATGAAACTGTGAAATCTCTAAGGTGGTGTTTAAACTTCAGAAAGATCTTTGTGGAATTTGTCAAATTCCACAAAAAGTCTCGCTGTGGAAACTGTCCTCAAGACTAGAGAGTCCACAAGGAGCAGGTTCAGCCCCAGAGTCAGAGAGGAATTGTCTTTCTACCGTTCTTTTTATGGAAGCTGGAAAACAAGGTTAACATGCCAGTATGTGCCAGCCGGGGTGAAATCCTGGCCCCAGTCCTATGAGGAAGATTTTGCTAAGGACTCCAGTAAAGCCTTGTTCTTCATTTCATCCTTTTTCTCCTATTTCTGTATCTTTTCCTCTGATCCAACATGCTGAATCTGGCCTCTTTTATAATATCACTCTGGTGCCCCATGATTCCAAATTCTGCACTTACGGAGACTCCGACAGATAATGTTTTCTGTGTCACCTCTTTTCCTCCTGCAGCTATCATGTGATGCAGTCTTGTTGGGCCCTTGACTCCAGAAAAAGACCCTCTTTTTCTCGGCTGGTTTCCTCTCTTGCGTGTCAGCTGGCTGAGGCAGAAGGAGCAGTAAGTAAACACAGAAAGAAGAAAAAAAGAATTCTTTTTTTTTTTTTTTTTTTTTT